ACAAAAAGAATGTGCATGTGAAGAGGAGTTTAGCATATTCATGGAAAATGCGTAGGCGTTGGGCGGGGGGGTGTCAAAGTCATATTATGCCCATGCATTATGCAGGATCAGCAGCAACCAAGGGGGGTGCAAGGATTAGCAGTAACAAAGGAAAGGAATGTTAATGATATGTAGCTGCAGTTACTCAACAACCACGTAGAAAACTAAAGTATAAACTACATAAAAAACTAAAGTATAAAAAACTAAAGTATACTTTAGTTTTTTATGTAGTTTATACTTTAGTTTTCTACGTGGTTGTTGAGTAACTGCAGCTACATATCATTAACATTCCTTTCCTATTCTATGAATCACAACAATAAAATAATCGCACATTTTTTTCTTGTTTTTATCATCTCGTTTGTATTTTCTTTCTCTCGTTTGCACAGTTTTGTTCGCTCCCTTAGCCTAAAAGCAATAGTAGCACCTCCATTTACATTTTATTTGCTTTAATTGTAAATTAAACAAAAATGAGCACACGTATACTTTTAAACATGTTGGGTAGAGCAGTGGTGCACTGTAGTACGAAGCTTGTATTCGATTCCTGGCAACGGATAATATCAGTAGCAAGCGATATCTGAACCGATGCTCGGTCACAGCCTTTACCAACCCATACTGACCAGGTCAGCATGGTGAAGTATGGTCAAACAGGTCCCATGACTGATACGGCATGGAATGGCCTTCATCCAGCAGTGGATTGATAAAAGGCTGAAACAAAAGAAAGACAGGTGGCTGAGCGGGGAGCCTAGGAGTCTGTGCTTGCTGCCGAGACTGTTTGCACATCCGACAGTTCAATTTACCACACAGCCTGCAATTGAAGTGTGTGCTGCATCATCATGAACACGACCAAGGTTCTTCGCTCTTGTAAAGTGGATGTTAAAGCTGGACAAGTAACGACGTATCGATTTCCAATTCGATTACTACGCTCGCTAAGCAGGCATCAAATTGTGCGCGCGAGTATTTGTGCATTTATTTGACCAACATAAAGGACACACACATTTTCATCCTAGAAGGACATGTCCATTGTTATCTGTTCGATCGATTTTTACTGTCAACTTTTAGTCAACTAAAATGGCACGTCTTCAAATGAACGTATGAACTGGAAACCCGATTTTAAGTGTTCTTCTTTTCATTATAACCGCACCCTGAATCACTACTACAGATTCGCAGGGCTGCATGCGCTTGTGACCATTTGTTTCGAGATCCCCACTCGCTTTCATCACGTTTGAGCATGTTGTCGGCAGTAAGCGGTGGAGTGTCTTGAATCATCGGTTAAATATAAACTGAATGGTGAGAATAAGGTGCGTGCTGTAGTGATTTACATTATTTTCGCTCTTTCCCATCTTTGAGTTGAGTATTATTTGCGTCGTGTGTCGTTCAGTGTTTGTTCAGCCCTTTTACTGCAGGGCTTTCTCTTTGTAGTCGACAAAACCTGATGGATTGAGTTTATATATATATATTTTTTTACAATTTCATTATTTTCTTGTCTCCACTCAGGATATATTAGGGGTGTTGTAAAAGTCTGTGGTCTGACCCAGAGAACAATACGTGGAGTGACCTTGATGAAACTGGGTTATGTCTGTACATGGTCTCCTTGAAGTGCAGTCTACTTGGTCAGTCATCATCATCGCCGATCTCCAAAGTTCTCACCCAGAACTCCTTGTCTCGCTCGTCAAACCACTCGGTCCACGTTGCTTCATGTTCATGAGAAATTCGCCTTTCTTGGGAGCGATTCTTTAAATAAATGACCCTCGTTTTTAGCCCCTTTTGTCGATGCCCTGCTGGAGGATGGTGTCTTCTATACCGCGTAGATCATGGGGGCTGGTGAGGAGAGGAGGGGGCAGCAAGACCAGTTGAGACATCGCTCGCCACCGATGTTAGCTGTGGCCCTGAACCAAACGCTGAGTTCACCGAGCAGTGATATTATGTTTTCAATACCTTCCCTAATTTATGCATCCTGAGCTGTACGACACAGGTTTAAAGTCTTGTTTGCTATAATCCTGAAAGAAAGTCCTAGGACTCGGTGTGCATTCCTGCGTAAGTAATTGATATTATAATACTGTACGTTGAAAAACAATGGAAATGACTCAAAAGCACTCCAGATAGACATCAATGCAGGAATATATAAAATTAGCAAAAAGCGTGATGCTGCATTGACACTTGCACCACAGCCCTTAACCCCACCATCGCTGACGTCACTGTCATCGGTTACCCTACCGCCGCCACTTAGCGTCAACCCAACTCTCGTCGGTAATAAATTACTCGCTTCGCTGACGGCTTTGGCGCCGTCTAGCTACCATGAGCATAGCTGTAATCTATCCGCCTTGGTTGATCTATGAATCTTGAATGACCTGCAATCCCCATCCTGTCTCCTTGCCTTGTCCAAACACCCAACTGTTGCTGCTGCTCTGGTATTTGCCCAATGCAAATTGCTTTGCGACTTGCAGATGGTGGATGGCGGTGGACTCTGAGCTATTAATTTGGTCCCATAAAAGTGTTTGCCCACTCTCCATGCCAGGCCATGCCTGCTGCAAAAAAAAAAACTTGCAATTAATAAAGGGGATTTTGTCGTATTCATTTCAAAAGGGAACCCTGAGAGAATAACCCACTTGTGAAGTAGATTTTGCCACATTCGGGACAATCATTATGACATAATGCCGGTGCACTTCATGTTTGCTCTTTTCAAGAATCTTGTTGATGACAATGGGACAATGTCGTACTTTTTTTTAATTAATTGACCATGGTCTTTCACATCTACTGAACAACATCAACTTGATGCGCTCTGACAGCATGTCCCATTGTGAAAGAAGTGTCCTTGAACTGTGTGAAAGTTCATTGCCAATGCCTTACCTTTTTACGTCGGTTTTCTGAGTGAATACAGCTGTGTATAGACACTTATTAACACCTGGCGGTTTACTTACATGCTGATTTGAGCAATTGCATCACGCTTGTTTGGGTTGCAGTGTCATGTCGTCCGTAGCTTCTCCCCGGGTTTAACGGCGGGCGTAATAACCTCGAACTGCAATTACGTGTTTAGCTTTGGTTGGGATCAGGCCATCGGTCGGCCGTTTATGCATGGGCATATTGACTCAGAGGCAAGAATGCTGACTGCCAGGGTACACAGCTGCCTGAGATGTGGGGAAGGAGTGTCCCAGAAAAACTTGATGACCCGTAACATCTCATAATCCAAGGCAGTTGGATTTTTTGTGTTGGGAATTGGCAGCTTCAGAGGATGTAAATTGTCTATTATTAAATCAATTATTGAGTGTGGCCATCCGTGTGGAGGTGATGTAACGAGAGGTTGAATGTGAAGTGTAAGCATTTTCAAATTAAGCGAGCATGGGGCATCCTGAATTGATACAGTAGACTCGATTTTCCGCACAAATGACGGGGAAGACGGCCGGGGATAAATAAAATAATCCCAAAAAATTTAATTTCTGTGTATCTCGATGCCAAAAACCACAAATATAGGTTGAAATTATGTTTAGGTTAAGAAAATTTAATTTCTGATTTAAAGTTAAAACAACACTCTTCCGTTTCCTCTGCCATCGCACAGTTTAGTAAATTGAAACTCGCAAAATAAATGATCGGATAAGTCACTCAAAATGAAGCACAACTGATAATTTTGATAGTTCCTCTTTCGATTCAGAACAAATACTAACGATCACCGATCGCAGCTTGTGCCGTGTGATCATACTTTCCTGCTCCCGTGCATTAAGTGGACAGCAGAGCCACGCCAATCAAAATCAATCAATCACCCCTGCTGTTGTAAAGATATGCAACGACTGTACTGTAGCGGCGATCATGTGGATTTTCGATTAACCTGAGCACATCTTTGTTCAGGTTAAGCACAGTGACTTGTGGAAACATTTCCAAGAATAACAAAGTATAACTGTTTTTAGGTTATTAACCTGGGCTTAAGGGAAAATCCATCAGTTATTAATTAATGTCAAAATCTCAGGTACGCAGTTAATCCGCAAATCGGATCAACCACAACTCGGATAATCGAGTCAACTTTAAAAATGGTTGTTGTAAAAAAAAAATCAGAGGCCCCACATTTAACTACCACCTTGCCCATATACCTTGTAGTGAATGTGCAGCCTCTTTGGCTGCAGGGTTGATATTAACAATATTCATTAAGACCGACGCAATTTTATTATAAATGGTCACTTTACTTGCACACACGTGTCGTGTGTGAGAATCGATTCGAAGCCACGTGCCCATCTTTATCGGCAGGCATGAGGCAGTGGAAAAAACAAATATTTTGATCGGTTGAAACTCCTAATGTGCTACTACTGTCTCCATCATCACAGACGATGGGGAAAATCGGCAAGGCGATGTGTTTTGGCCATTTCGTCAAGGTGTAAAAGCTGTAATTAATTAAGTTACCACTTGTGTGTTGTAAATCTGGTTCATAGTTTTGGTCGTGTATGTTATCTGGCTTGGTTTTTGGAGTAAATTTCGGCCCATCAACCTCCTAATCTTTGTCATCATTAGCTATGAACATTCCACTGCTGGATAAATGCCTCTCCAAGCCATTGACTTACGTCATTGTCCTGCGATGTATAAAATCACGCCTCCCTGGGGTGCATAAAATAAGTACCGCTTGCAGCTGTTTTGCGAAGACGTGTGTGTGTCTATATATATCAGGGAGCGGTAGTGTAGCGGGCGGTTAGCGTGCTGCACTACGAAACCGGGGACTTGAGTTCGATTCCTATTTGTGGCCAAAACCATCGGAACTGGTTCTTGGCCTTCCCTAGGTTGATGCAACCTCAAAGGAACACGTGGTGTGGTGTGTAAACAGTGCCACTGGGAAAACAAAGGCGGCAGGGTGTGGTGCTATGCCGTGCCGACCTTCATAGGTGCTCGCTAACGGCACTTGCTCCGACAGTTTTAAGGCTATAGGGGGATCTATACCTTTGTCTTGTATATATCTCTTGCTGACCCTGGCTTGTCTCTGTCAGGTTTATTTTGGACCGCGCGGAGAGCGAGACGGAGACGGTGGGGCCCGCACCCACGCTGGAGGAGTTGGGGGGGTCGCCCGCCGAGCAGGAGGACAAGGGCGTAATCGAGGTGGCCAACTGCCTGCGCCTCATCGGAGACGAGCTCGACCGAGACCAGAAACTGCAGGAGTCAGTGTCCCCGCACACACGCACGCTTCGATGCACACGCTTGCTCGCTCACTCACAAGCGCTCGCTCGCACGCTTGTACAAGCGCGCTCGGCACGCATGCGTGCGACGTTCATGCTGGCGCGCACACCATGTAACGCACACATGTCCGTGCAATGCAACACTCAGACACAATGAAAATGATCGCGCACACACACATGCGTACACATGGAGGTCAGGCAAAAATGCGTATATCCTCGAATCTCTTGACAGACTGCTGCAGATCGTGTTATTAGTGAGCACATGTGAAGGATGGCACGGGGCACGAGAGGGTGGTGTGACAAGCACTCCATCCGACCACCTTTATCTCCCAAGTGCCGGTGTTTACACACCATACCAAGTACTGATTTGAAGTTCAGTCTACCAAGGGGGGAGGCCCCGGACTGGTTCAGATATTCGCCACAGATATAAGTTATGGCCACGAATCGTGGTTAGCATGCGGTTTGTCCATAGCACCGTTATGCTAACCACTAAGCCACCACTCCACTCGGTAAGACACACACACACTCGCTCACATTTTCTAAAATACCAAATCGCTTGGGTCTTCCCTGACGTGACCCTTCCATGGAAACACCACGGAGGATGCTGGTGGGTGAATGGGTGCCAGGACTGCGGTCTGGTTTTGTGGCAAGAGGAGGAAATGGGCCCACGGGCACGGTGCCCAGATGTCCGTGCGTCCAGGAAGCCGTGCCGAGCGAGGTGGCCAGGTAGCTCTGTGGGTTAATACCGTGTCAGGCGCATTGACAGCGAGTGACTGATGAGTGAGATATTGGATCCGAATCCGGGTTTCAGCCGCCCACAGATACACACCGGGTTCTGAAGTGGAGTGAATTGGTAGTCTCAGCATGACCATCACTTATTGTAGGTTTGGCTTCAGAACCCCCTCCCCCCCCCCCCCATTAAACTTACATTTGGAGTTTCACTTATTTCATGCTTCGTGGCATAGTAATTGTATGCCCCCTCATTAAGGGACTCGGAATGTAACAATTAAGTGTCATGATTTTAAGTATGAATTAAAGAGTCAATTGTTAAACATTCTGGTGAATGTAGCATTGGTAGATCCTTGGTGTGAACCCAGTACATGCAACATACACAAAAGAAATATGAATTCTGAGCGTGATCGAATGCACACATCCTGAGCGTTAGGATCGATTTTCATCGACGAATGAATGCGACGCTGCCTGCCTTTCTGTGACGTCATCTCCCGGGGCCATTCTCGTAACACATGGTGGTACACTGCTAGCTGCGTTGCTTGGGAAATGAGATGTATTTGTGTCGTAACAACAGAGCTCCGTTAGCACAATTGCTGTTCAGCCCTTAATCAATCTACTGCTGGATGAAGGCCTCGCCACGCCGTGTTGGTTATGGGAGGCTTGTCGGACCAAACTTCAACATCCTGTGGTCAGTCCAGCTTGGTGAAGGGAGGATAGGCCCATAACTGCGTCAGATTATCACTCGCCGCTGATATTTGCCGAGGCCCGTTCGTCAATAAAACTCGGCTTGCTGGTTTTACAGCACGAGGCACTACCTCCTGCGTAACCAGCCTCATTTGAATATAATTGTGGAGGGGGGGGGGGAACTTTTCGAAGTGCATTCAAGGGGAGGCTAAGGAGGGGTTTTGGAAGGCAGAGAGCAGGAGATTGTGTCTGGCACTGGTTTGTGGATGCCGGAGGCATCTCTCCGAGCTGGAGGGGGGGGAGCATGCGTTTCGATAGGACCAGAACCGGTTTGACCAGGTGCTGTGCCGTGTAATGGAATAGCTGTGTACAAAGACAAAGATCTCCCGATAGTTATACAAGCTGTCTGGGCAAGTGTTGCTGTTTGCAAACGCATTATTGATGGCTGGCACAACACACCATGGAGTAGTGTGGCGGCCAGAACTGCAATGGGCCGACTTTGTCTCACCAGCACTAATGGTTACATGCCACGCAAGGTACTCCGTTAAGGCTGGGTCTTCCTAGGCGAGGCGCGGAATCGGTTCAGGTAACCTCCACTGGTGTTAGCCATGGTCGGGGATCAAACTCGTGTTGCTAGGTTTGTAGTGCAGTGCCCTAACCACGACACTACCGATCCACTCACGTCTTAATCACACAAGACAAAGATTGAACACTCTTGGGACAAATGCTGTTAGCGACCATCGATGAAGGCCGGCACGGCACAGAAGTGGGGTGAGTCGCCAGCTCCACACACGGGCGCCTTTGCCTCTAGAGTTGTGATGTTTACACATTGAACAAGGTACTCCTTTAACGCGGAGTCAACCTAAGGGAGGCCTCCGGACCAATGTAGATATTCATCACCGAAGTTGGCTGCGAGCGGAAATTTAACTCCTGTCTCGGGGTTCGTAGCGCAGTGTGCCACTTGTTACGCTACCACTCCCGACTTGCACCCGCACATTCGTACACGTGTGCGCATGAGCCACCGAGGTGGAAAATATTACCGCTTGCAGTTACAAAACAAAATAATAATAAAGCGGCTGAAACAAACCCCGCGATGCCGTGTTGATGAAACTGAGCTGCTGCTGCTGCTGTGTAGGAACACGCGTGACTCATCTCTCTATTTTTGTTGTTGCTGAATTTATTTAACCCAATGAACTAAACATACAAAAAACTATTAAAACATTCAACTATTTTTATTCTACCAGATAAGGCCCACTGAGCTTTCTAGCTATTTTTCAGAAGCAACCTGGCCACAAATGATAGCTCAACGAAGTGGCTTATCACGTGGAAATTTATGGCAGCCAAGTACTCCAAATCCATGTTTCTAAATGCAGAGGGAAAACCTGGAGGATCTGCAAGAAGAATCCACGCCACCACGGGGAGAGAGACATGCAAACTCCATATATACAGGCGTCGGGGTCGGGATCAAACTCATGACCTCTTGTTTCCCAGGCTAGGTAGTTAACATCTCGCCACCACGGCGCCCTGACCTCAGGACACCCACTTTGGTGTTTGCATGTTCAGCCACTGTGCACAAATGAGGTATTCTAGGCAGCTGTTGGGCTATATTGTCCGCAAGGTGCATTGCGGCAAAATCTATTGTTGTACTGTACTTACCGACCCACCTCCAACCCACCCTGACCATCATGATGAAGCATGGTCAAATAACCCCGATGATGCCCACGGTGGAGTGAGGCCCCTCTGATGGCCTCATTTGAAGTGGTAAATAACTTTTCCATTAGGAACTCGTCGAGTGAGCAGTGGATCACCTTTTCAGAGGAGGGTCCCGTGGATGCCGATATCACAACTAATTTTCGAATGTCCATTTATCACTTCAATAGATCTGTTATCCACACTTTGCACACACCTTGTATACTCCCTGACAAGAGTGTTGGTCGCATTAAATTAAAGCAACATTTAACTATGAATATGATGCATTGAGTTAAGGTGTGACAGGGCATCCTTCCCCCCCACCCCCACCGCCGGCCTTGGCGATTTGATTATTTGTCGTGACGAGACTCAAGAATTTGCTGGAGGGGGGGAACGTAGCAGCCTCCAATGACCAGAGCGGGAGCCTCTTGAACCCCATTGCATGCAACATATATGAATTTAGAAACATTTATTCTGACACAAGTGATTGCTTAACGCATCGATATTCATTAACTCACCATTGCACCCCACTAATAAGGTGGCAAACCAAAGGTAATACGATGTTTTTTTTATGCAGTAATCAATATACTGGGACTGACACCGTACTCTTTGGTTCTTTCGGTAAAGTCACGTAGATAGAAAAATAATAGATCACGACGTTTCGATCGCAACACAAGCAATCGTCATCAGGTGACTAAGCGTATGGATTCCGGCAGTTACTGAAAGCTTCAAATCAAGATTGGGACTGACACCATCAAAAACTCTCTACGCTTGAGAGAGCCCTGTTTAGTCACAGGTGGCTGAACCTGGATTTGAACCCAGGCTCACCGTTGGTGTCGACTCAGTGTTTTGGCATGAAATCCTCCCCAGGGGCAATCCGGGACCTCAGCCGTGACTCATGCCAAGGAACACACACAGCGCGCACACACATCGCGCATAGCCATTTGCTGGCCGCATTTCAAAGCTCCCTCTTCTGCTTTGTGAAGAACTTGTGTTGTAAGTTCTGTGGTGTGTATGTGTGTGTTTTTTTTAAAGCTTATCTTCACCCACAATTGTTCGCAAATTCGTTTCTCATGACTGACTTTCACGAGGTCAAAAATAAACCATAAATCTTTGCAATCTTTGAAAAGATACAAACTAACCCGCACTGACCAGCGTGGTGAGGTCTGGTCAGACGGCCCCACGTGGACGGCACAGCGGGGAGGTCTTTGTGCAGCAGTGGTTTGAAACGGGGCTGTAATTGCAACAATTGTTACTCGTTTTATAAAGTGTCTACCTCATGGGGAAGGAGGTCCCATGATGTAGATGCTCACCCCGAGCTCTCATTATTCTGATAGTGCATTGCCTTTGGGCTGTTAGCATTTTGGCGTCCTCTGGTCTAACACCGTTTTGAGACTATTTTTTAAAGAAAGCTATCGCTGGTGTGGACCAATCAGTTTCAAAGACAATGCATATATTATCAGAGTACGCTTTTTTGTTTGCATTCCGACCACAGGTATTGTGGTTATTGCAGGCATGATTCCTTATAAAAGGTTTCAGTTTGGTGTTTTAACATCTTAATACCTACTCTTTGGTTCTTTTGGTGAAATCACGTAGAAAAAAAATAGATCACGACGTTTGGATCGCAACACAAGCAACCGTCAGGTGGGAACTGTATGTTAATGTAAGCTCGGAGAGAGACACAGAGAGAGAGAGACACAGGGAGAGAGAGACATACACAGAGAGAGACACAGAGAGACCCACAGAGAGAGATACACAGAGAAAGACAGAGAGAGAGAGAGACCCACAGATTGAGATAGAGACACAGAGAGAGAGAGAGACACAGAGAGAGAGAGAGACACATAGAGAGAGACACAGAGAGAGACACAGAGAGAGAC